TTCCTGGGTCTTGGATTTTCTCCCAGGCCCTAAGGCAGATAGCTCTAACTTGCTCAGTGGCCTCATTTTGCATTATTGCTTGTTGATTAGTAGTGCTCCAATTTTGACCTGTTCCTAATAGTTGATCTGCGTCTATGTTAACTGGAGGATCGGCAGCCCTATTTCTTCATTTCTTCAGACCTGTTCTTGTGCCCCATCAATCCACCAAGTCTTAAATTGTAAAAATTGAGAGGGTGAGAGTGATGATTTTTCCACAATGTTCCAATCATAAGGAATGAGTCTATGTCCATGAGCAATGGAATCTAATAACGTTCTCACGTAAGGAGAGTTGGGTCCATACTGTTTTACCCCCTATTTCATATATTTTAGCATTTTTAGAGAAAAGGACTCATATCTGGCCTCAGCTGTGGGAGGCTCTCCCTCTTGGGCCCCTTCTCCAGGTGGTCTTGGTTCTAATATTTCTGGGAATTGCCACGCCTCAGTATCTCCTTGTTTTCTTGCCTTATCAATAATTTTATGTAATGCATGACCCTGTCCACTAGGCGGTGCTGTAGGATTAAGTCTCATGGTGGGCGGCTGAGGATATGGCACCCTGCCCTGTGGTGCTGGAAACATTCCTGGCTGTCCATATGGATTTTCTGGGGGCGGCTGATACTGAAGTTCGTCTGGTGGCCAGTATCAATAGGCTACTGGCGGCTGGGTCTTATTTTCTACCGGCTGATATTGTGGACACTGCATTTGGATTGGCATTGCCGTGACAGAGACTCTATCTTTTTCTATTTGATCTTCTTTTGGGGTTTGTACTTGTTTAACCTGCGTTTGAGGTTGTGATGTTACAGGCATCTGAGCTGCTGGAAGAGGAGTTGGCCATCGTGGTTTAGACTCTGATGGCCCCAATAATTCTGGACCTTTTTCTTCTAATTTTAACATTTCAGGATGTATCACCTCCTGTAATTGATTATCATCAACATTTTGCGTTGACTGAGCCATTACCGGCTCTGCTACATATTTACAATGTGAACTTTCCGTTCCTTTCTGGGATTCTATCCCTGCCTCTTCTTCACAATCTACTACACAGCTTTCAGGGGCATCAGAAACTGAAACGCTATCTTCCTCTGTTTGAAACGGTTCTAAAGCTACTTTAATAATGACCCAATCATTCCATACTGTAAGTGGGATGATTTTACCCTCCCTATTTGCTTGTTTTAATTCTTTGCCAATTTTTTCCCAGTCTTTTAGATCTAAAGTTCCCTGTTCTAGAAACCATGGGCAGAATTGTTCTATTGTTAGAAATAGTGTAATTCGATCTTTTGTAGAGACTCCAGCTCCCCCTCTTTTTAAAAGAATTTTAATAAAGCTGTGATAAGAGGCATATTTACTTTTAGTTTGCCCCATTGTTACTCAAGGTTATTCCAAGCACACAAGCTTACTGCAAGGCTGACTGTAGACGTACTCGGGAGTCTCTTGTCGACTTGTCCTCAATGACCACGCTCAAGCGTACCTTCGCCCTAGAGAAAAGCACCCACGTTGGGCACCAGATGAAGGGTGGCTTGCCCCTCCACATGTGTGGGCATTTCTCGTCAGGTGGAACGACCGACTTGAGAAAAGAAAGAGACACACAGACAAAGTACAGAGAAAGAAAAGTGGGCCCTGGGGACCGGCGCTCAGCATACGGAGACCCACCCGCACTGGTCTCTGAGTTCCCTCAGTATTTATTGACTTATGATCAATAAATCATAAATGTATGATTATAGCATACGTCACCACACCTGTCTAACGTTTGTATTTTTAGTAGAGACAGGGTTTCACCATATTGGCCAGTCTGGTCTCAAACTCCTGACCTCAAGTGATCTGCCCACCTTGGCCTCCCAGAGCACTGGGATTATAGGTGTGAGCCACTGTGCCTGGCCCTATTTTGTCTTTCATTTTGGATATACTCTCAACTTTAAGTTGTCAAACACTAATTCAATCTTCAGCCATATTCAATCTTCCACTGGTTTTGTTGTGTTGTGTTGTATTGTATTGTATTGTATTGTATTGTATTGTATTGCATTTATTTTGAGACAATGTTTCACTCTGCCCCCAGGTTGCAATGCAGGGGTACCATCTTGGTTCACTGCAACCTCCACCACCTTCCAGGTTCAAACAATTCTCCTGCCTCAGCCTCCCGAGCAGCAGGGATTACAGGCACACAACACTGTGCCTGGCTAATGTCTTGTATTTTTAGTAGAGACAGGGTTTCACCACATTGGCCAGGCTGGTCTTGAACTCCTGACATCATGATCTGCCCACCTCAGCCTCCCAAAGTGCTGTGATTATAGGCGTGAGCCACTGGGCCCACCTCTCCCATTGGTTTTAAATTCAGCAATCATGATTTCAGTGTTCAATATATCTTTGTTCTTTGATTGCTCCTTTATCATGACATCTGTTCTTGTTTTATGGATGCAATATTTTCCTGAATTTTCAGAGCATACTAACTAGAATTCTTTAAAAGTTCTGGCCAGGCATGGTGGCACACACCTGTAATCCAAGCACTTTGGGAGGCCAAGGTAGGCAGATCACTTGAGTTCAAGAGTTCAAGACCAGTCTGGGTAACATGGTGAAACCCCATCTCAGCAAAAAATACAAAAATTGGCTGGCCACGGTGGCTCATGCCTGTAATTCCAGCACTTTGAGAGGCTGAGGCAGGCAGATCATGAGGTCAAAAGACTGAGACCATCCTGGCCAACATGGTGAAACCCTGTCTCTACTAAAAAAAATACAAAAATTAGACCGGGCATGGTGGCTCACATCTGTAATCCCAGCACTTTGGGAGGCTGAGGCAGGCAGATCACAAGGTCAGGAGATTGAGACCATCCTGGCCAACACGGTGAAACCCCGTCCCTACTAAAAAAAATATAAAAAATTAGCCAGGCATAGTGGCGGCTGCCTGTAGTCCCAGCTACTCAGGAGGCTGAGGCAGGAGAATGGCGTGAACCCGGGAGGTGGAGCTTGCAGTGAGCCGAGATTGCACCACTGCACTCCAGTCTGGGCGACAGAGTGAGACTCTGTCTCAAAAAAAAAAAAAAAAAAAAAATTTAGCCGGGCATGGTGGCGAGTGCCTATAATCCCAGCTACTCTGGAGGCTAAGGCAGGAGAATCCACTTGTACCTGGGAGGCGGAGGTTGCAATGAGCCAAGATCACGCCACTGCACTCCAACCCGATGAAAGAGAGAGGCTACATCTAAAAAAAATAAAAATAAAAATTAGCTAGGTATGGTGGCACACATCTGTGGTCCCAGCTACTCAGGAGACTGAGGTGGGAGGATCACTTGAGCCTGAGAGGTGGAGGCTGCAGTGAGCCGAGATTGCGCCACTGCTCTCCAGTCTGGGTGACAGAGCAAGACTCTATCTCAATCAATCAATCAATCAATGTTCCTGGCCAGGTGTGGCGGCTTGTAATCCCAGGGAGGCCGAGGTGGGCAGATCACAAGGTCAGGAGATCAAGACCATCCTGGCTAACACGGTGAAACCCTGTCTCTACTAAAAACACAACAACAACAACAACAAAACAAAATTAGCCAGGCGTGCTGGAAGGTGCCTGCAGTCCCAACTACTCGGGAGGCTGAGGTGGGAGAATGGTGTGAACCCAGGAGTGGAGCTTGCAGTGAGCCAAGATCGCACCACTGCACTCCAGCCTGGGCAACAGAGCGAGACTCCATCTCAAAAAAAAAAAAATTCTCTTCTGCTTCACATATTGTGTTACCTCTGTAAATAAACATATGCCTTTGGTTTACTTAATATCTACTGATTCTTGGTTTTTGTTCACATTCATTAGTGACATCAGTTGATCAATTTGGGTGACATCATGGGTTTCCTCAGTATTCGGGAAGGTATTTTTCTGCAGCAGTCCTCTTTCCTAAACAGAGTTGTCTGTGGACTCATGGGTGAGTGCCAGAAAGCCGACAGGCTGCAAATAGGGTTGCCAGATAAAATACAAGGTACTCAGTTAAATTCGAATAGAGGATACAGTATTTACTGTTTGTCTGAAATTCAAAATTTACTGTACAGGATACAGTTAAATTTGAATTTCAGACAAACAGGATACAGTTAAATTTGAATTTCAGACAAACAACAAATACTTTTTGGTATCAATGTGTCCCAACTGTTACATGGGTGCCCTCTTTTTAACAGGTTTGAGATATAGTTTAAATGCAATCGACCCATTTAAAGTGTACAATTTAAATGTTTTTAGTATGTTCACAGTTGTGCAACTACCAGCATAATCTAATTTTGGAATATTTTCAACATCCAAAAAAGAAAGCCCATACCTATTGTCTCAGTCAGTTCAGGTTGCCATAACAAAATGCCATAGACTGAGTGGTTTAAACAATAGAAATTTATTTATTTATTTTTATTTTTTTATTTTTTGAGACGGAGTCTCGCTCTGTCTCCCAGGCTGGAGTGCAGTGACGCGATCTTGGCTCACTGTAAGCTCCACCTCCGGGGTGCATGCCATTCTTCTGCCTCAACCTCCGATGTCGCTGGGACTACAGGCGCCTGCCACCACGCCTAGCTAATTTTTTTGTATTTTTAGTAGAGATGGGGTTTCACCATGTTGGCCAGGATGGTCTCAAACTCCTGACCTCAGGCCATCTACCCTCCTCGGCCTCCCAAAATGCTGGGGTTACAGGCATGAGCTACCACACCTGGCCTGATTTATTGCTATCTTGAAGGAGGCGGACAGAAACCAAGCAGCCGTGGGTGGTGGGTGGGCTGAGTCTCTGTAAGTTGCCCAGGGAAGACAGCTCTGACAAATAATTAGAAGTTGCCAGCCTTATGTACAGCTGAGGAAAGAGCATTCCAGGCAGAAGAGACAGCAAGTGCAAAGACCCAGAGGCCAGAAAGGCCACCAAAGTTGTTTGGTTCCGTGTCCTGAGCTACCAGCCTGGCAGATGGCAGGTGCCCAAAAACTGCTGGAGTGAGGGAATGCCCTTCTTTTGCCTTCCCTTCCTCCCCAGTCTGTGTGTCTCTGGAAGGTTGCTGCTCCGCCCACAGTGGAGGACATGTGAAGAACTGGAGTCCTTTCCTGGGGCAGACTCCAATACTGGGAGAAACTCTTCTGCCAGGACCATGGAACTGGGAGGTCCCAGCGTCTTTCTTTCCCAGCTGCTCTGAGAAAATCGGCCAGCGGCAGGTGGAGATGATATGGAGCCACAGAGCAGGAGAGCAGCAGAGAGGGAAAGCGATGGTAGGGTAGACAGTACAAGGCTCCAGAGAGCTCCTGGATGCAGCAGTGCCTGAAGCTGGAGCCCTCCAAACCTCTATTTACAAATTTTCTCTTCGTGCAAGTCAGTTTGAGTTGGGTTTGTTACTCGCGACCGAAGATATCCTGACAAATGCCCCAAAGCTACCCGCTCAGAGATGCCCAGAGGCCTCTCCAAAGCTGCCTCCTCAGGTCCGCACTGGGTGCCCTGTGTTGTCCCGTCCCCGGACGGCCCGAGCTTCTCGGTGGCTGTGCCAGCCTGGACAAGAGCAGGCCTTCCTTCCGACAGGCCCGTCGCCACTCCTCCATTCAGCCCTTCTCCGACCCGACAGCCTGGTCTAGAAGCCGGGGCGCAGGCCTCAGACCCTCAGGGCCCACGAGAGGCCAGGGCCGGCTGACTAGGTTAGGCGCGGCCAGCGCCCAGTG